TGGCCACCGCCGACCCCTTCCCACAGCCTTGCCCAGCCTCCGGCAGCGCGCGGTTCAGACCCCCCTAGGCCAGGCACCGTGCCAGCTCGTCGGGCAGCCCTCCGAGGACAGCATGCCCCAGCCGCGCTCAGAGCCCACAGGTCCCTCAGCTCCGGGAAGCAGCTGGGCGGTTGAGCCACACCAGGAGCAAAGACCCAGCTCCTGCCTTGCCCAAGGGCTGCCCTGCTCCTCTCTGCTCTCCAGCACGTGCAGAAACCGTCTGTGGCCCCAGTCACCTCCGACTGACCCAGGAGGGTTGGAAAAGCCAGGGCTGCTCCAAACCACCCCGACCAGCCACAGCCCACAAGAGCCTGGCAGGGCCATTGCAGCCGTTCGCTGTGACCCCAGCTCCTCCGGCCTCTCCGGAGAGGGACAGACAGCATGCACCCGCTGCTCCCATGGGTTGGCAGCACCCGGGAAAGCCCCAGCTGCGGGGCTAGAGAGGGGCTGGAGCAGGGCTGATGCTTTAGTTCTGGCTCTGCAGAGGTGTCCTACCATGGGCTTTCCTAGAGACAAGCTGCCTGCACCTTGCACGCCCACTGCAGCAACTGTAGCACCAAATGAATTAACGCAGCAAAATCACAAATACAGACAAAATGGGTAGAAGCAAATTATCCTGGCGCAGATGAAGGAAGCTTTGAAGCTGACAGTTTCTGAGAAGCATGAAGATTTCCACACCAGCGAGGCGATACAATCTACAGAAAGCGCCCCAACAAACCACCGCATTGTTTCAGGTTTAGCGCTAAAAACATCCCTCAGCTCTTGGCTTACAATGAAGTGTGTGGCACGGTGAAATTATCTTGGATGAAATACTGCTATAAAAACAATGGTGCTAAGGAGTTTTATCTCCTTTTCTCATTGGTCATATGGCACCTATTTGGTCAGGTTTAATTTAAAGGTTCTCATTTATGTCAGTGTTTTAAGAGCTGAGAAAGAATTAAGTCACCAGACAGTTTCTTATAGATCTGAAACACCACATTAAGGACCAAAACCAACCGTTCTTGTGGTTTTTCCCCTGCATATTAACTGAATTTGTATCAGACTTTAAAGAGTGAGTGACTATGGACAGGGTGGCAAAGGCTGCTGAGACCAGAGGCTGCGCTTCCCATCCTGGGAGCCTGGCTGCCGGCAGGAGACGGCTCAAACCCAGAGGAGGAGAGCTCACACCAGACCCAACCAACGAGCAGGGTCACTGCTCCCTCAGGGAATGCCTGGCTATGGAAGAACAATTTAATTGTGTCACCCAGAAAAACTTCTAAATGCAGAAATGAACATTCTGATTTGATTAAGTATGCCGGTTTTGTAATTTAACCAAAAGCATGTTCTCTCTTCTCGCAGGCAAAGAGCAGTTCTGGCAAATCAAGGTGGGGGGTGGGGGAGAAAAACATGCCCCCACTTTAACCTTCTTGATCCCACAGACCAGGCAGCACGCACCATGGCGAGGGTGGGCACCGTCCGTCTCCACAGCCGGGCTCCCCACACCTCTCTTGCCGAGTCAGCGCAGGGGCAGGGTCGGACCGGAGCTGTGCCCAGCCTCGTCTGCCCAGGCCCGGCATAAATACAGCGTGCTGCTACTCAGGCTTTGCTCCTGACTCAGTCCGCCCTACTCTGCGTGAAGGGAGGAGGAACGACACACTCTGCAGCTGCTCATTTGGCTCCTCTCAGGCATTTAGGGCAAAGACCCAGATGAGCTCCAAATCCTGAACTCGCCATTCCAGCTGCTTTTCCCGCCCGATTCGGTGACATGGCGTGGGTGCTGATGCTTAATGCCAACAGGAGCTCTGCCCTTCGCAGGGGCAGTACACCTTCTCCACTCCAAAATACAAGGTCCGGTGTGTTCCCCCTGCCTGGATTCCAAGGAACCCACAGTTCATGATTCAAACATCTGAAACCCATGCTAAAACCCACCGCAAACTACTCTATTTAAGATGTGAGGGCAGCCTCGGCTTTGCTTCTGCCTTCTAAATGAAAATCCAAGTTAAACAACTTGAAGGTACAAAGATATTGACAGACCCTCATATGTAGAAAGCTGGTACAGTGAAGGAAGTTTTCAGAGCAATCAACCTATTTAATTTAACCACGGCACTGAAATACAAGCTGTGGAAATGGTAATTACGCACAAAGATTTCACGAAGAGTTACTCTGTCCTTAGAATCTTCATACTGCGCTACCCATATCCCCCTCTTCCCGAAAACTCATTTGGAGTGTTTGCTCATGTGTGAGCCGCAGACACTTTCAGCGCTGCTGCTGAACTTATAAGCTCAATCTAATAAATGTTACTAACTTAACCTTATCGCTGAAGAAATTAAAAGCAAGCAAAGAGATGTCTGGCTTAATTAAAGATTTAATTCCAGCTCTTAGGGGTGGCAGTGTAAGTTGTGTGTTGACTCAGCCTACACCACGGGCTGTGTAAGGCGGAGGACAGAGGCTTCTCAGTTCTGGAGCAAGTTGTGCAGAGACCCCAGCACACAAACGGTTCCCTGTTTTGCTGGGAGAACTTACTTCAGGTGTTCCTGCAAAGAAACTGGCTTGTGATTTTCATGAGCTTTTCGTGGGGATACTCAAAAGTCTCTCTCAGCTTTTTCATCCCATTTCTCTGGTTTCAATCCTCAGCACCACAACCGACTCCCACACCACCCATCGGGTGCCTGTTCGGTTGCTCTGACTCCACATCCACTCCTGCAAGAACTCTACTCTTTCAGCTTCAGCCTCCTCTTCCTTTCCCGAAAAGAGAGCTTCCCTTCTGCATGTGTGCTGCCCTGCCCGCTCCATCCTCCTCACAGCAAACAACATCCTTTAAAGGACAGCTTCCAACTCTCCCTGCCTCTAAGACCGAGATCGTTGGGACACTCTGTAACGTAAAGTATTATAAAAAGCTGAAGGACCAAACTCACTCCTTTGAACCCAGTGTTGTTATCAGGAAAGCAATCTGGTCCCTGCTATGCTGATCTGAATGCAAACACTGCTCAAGTTTTTAAATATTAACATACAGCTCCATCATCCTTCAGCCACCCTGAAAACCCTAAGCCATTAAATCAGGTATCACGAGGAGAAAGTGCTAACACAGAGGCGAGTGGAATACACTGCTTTCCATCAGGAGACAAAACACCACACGACAAAAAGCTGTTGTCTACACGTGAATCTTTAGCACTCACTGCAGATTAATCCAGGCTGTGCATTTAGGCGATGCTCTCAGCCAAAAGCATTCAGCAAAGATCCCACGAAAGGCAAACGCTGCCGGAGCCCTCCCCAGGGTGCGCTGCCCCAACAAACAGGCACCAGCCCCTTGCTACGTCTTCTCCGACCACTCAACCCCGGCAGCAGCTCCCCTCCCCAGCCTTGCCCACACCATCCCTACTCCGGATCTGAACAGATTGTATGCAGAGCTGAATTATTTTCATCAGTCTTTCAATACTTGTCTACACCCCAGACTCAGGGTTTCCTTCAGAGCTAGTTCCAGTGAGGAACATACCTGCTACACTTTCTGCCTGAAGTACTTCAGAACAGTATATATAAATATATTTTTATACATATATATGAAAATCCCAGCCCCCAAGGAGATGCCAGAGCTCTACATCGTTGCCAAAGCAACAGTTTGCAGGAATGGGATGGAGCAGCCGGGAGCTGTGCAGACCCCCAGACTGCCACCTGTACCTTCCCAAAGTGCTCGATGAGGATCTCAACCACAATGTTTTGGAACTTGATGTTCATCATCGCTGCCACAGTGTCCTCCTGCGCTCGCATGAGGGTAGGTCCAAATATCACCCCCATGTTAGACGGTGACATCAGATTCTCTCGGCTGTGCTCACATACGCTGCGGAGAGGAGGGAAAGAAGCAATAGGTTTGAGTTTGGTTTGTTTTTTTCCAAACAGATCTTATTCCAAGCAATTAAAAAAAGGATACCGTAAGAATCATTCAATTTTCTTCATTTTGTTTCAGCAGAGTTTGTTTCGCAGCCCTACCAGAGATAAAGCATGTCTCTAGCTATGATGTGCACGTTTGGCTGGGACAACTGTTTGGGAGAGCAACACTCTGACAGCATTTTTATTTAATCTTTCCCCACTCTTAGCTCATCTTTTAACTCTACAGAATTCATCAGCCCAACACAAACACAAAAATAATCATTTAATTTGGAATATCCTATTTATCCAGAATTGACTTTTGGTTTTAATTTTTCCTCTCTCTGAAGGAGGATGATTGACTGTATGGAGCACGCTTTGGAGGTCTTCAGTAGATCTCTGCACAGCATTTTCTTTCTGAAAGAACTGCCGTGTTAACAGAACCAAGCACTCTCTGTCCAGCAGCCTTTGAGTTTTGGAGGAACGTGCAAGCCTGCGGAGCAGCACCAGTCCTTGACTGAAGTACTAAACACCTAGGTGGGCACTACCTGTTTCTAGAAGTGGACCACAGGAGAGATACTGATGCTGATACGTAATGAATTCCAGGTTTGCCCTGTAGCTCTGTCGTTAAAGAGGTTTCTGTCAGCACCAAGAGGAGAGGGAACAGAATTTAAGCATAAACACTTTGAGGTATAAAGAGTGACCCCAAGTGCAGCTTCATCAGACCACACACCAGACATTCAGCTCTGCCACTCAAGCAGAATGGTTTCTAAAATCCACACAAACGTGCACGAACAGCTGGAGCCGGAGGGCAGGCTGGTCCCCAGCCAGCCCTCCTTGCCCCAGAGAGGGGTCATGGCACTGGAGGCCAAGCACTTGCCCTCTAGTGTCAGGGTGGGACAATCCCAAATCAGCCCTACTTATTTCTGAAACAGTCCAGCTTTGAAAACGACTTCTCCAAAGCTCCAAATCAAGCCGTTTTACAAAAACCATTGCTTCTGCAAGTCCTGGTCCTTCCTGACGTGCATGCAGATTGCTCCCTTGCTTCTGAGCTTCAGCATGGCTCGTCACAGCCCCTCTCCCTGCTGCGCCCCAGCTCCTCCCTGGGGTGGAGAGGGAAGAGCTTCCACACCGAGCCTTCGCATTCGGAGTGCCAGGCAGGAAAATATCCACTGCCCAACGCAGTGCTGGTGCCATTACCATCAGGTAGCAGACCTTTTCCGGGGCTGACTGGCAGAAGCACGTGGAAGCAGCGCTGCTCAGTGACACCCAGCATCCAACTCGCCTATGTGAAAGCAGAGCCTGACATGCTCAAAGCCTTCGTGCTGCTCTAAGGCCTCAGGTCACTGATCCACAGAGCTGGAGACAAAACCAAAGCATGCTTCATGTTCAGCCCATGGGCACAGGTCCTACAGCCATTCCCAAATCCCAGACTTAATCTTCTTGTTAACTAGAGCAAGCGGTGACAATTTATAGTTCTGCTGTCAGGGGGTATTTTCATTGTAAAATTATTTCTGCTTGGTGCTTGTCAGAAAGAGGATGAAAGTGGCAATTAGAAAGAGAAGCATCACTTGATACAGTGGTTAGGAAGGTTAATTATACCATTTGTGCAGTCCAAATGTGAATTCCTAGGGGAACTGTAGTGGATACAATTTTGCAAACCTGCCACAAAAAAAAAAGGCTTGTTCTGCTGATTCCATTATTGCCCTTACTGTGGCTTTAGAGAAAAACGTCTGCTTACTTGACAAGGTGTTGTATGAGGAGCTCTAACATCTCTCTGTTCTTGTCGGGTAGTTTATAGACCAGCGCATGAATGGCTCCCAGCCTGTAATCCAGGTTCTCAGATTCTGGAAAAGAAGTAACACAAAGAAAAGTTCATGCCCACCACTTTCAAAGTAAATAGACAAGAGAAAGACAAAGCCAAAGAAAATCTGTGGAAGCTGTTCCTTTTGCAACATAGGGCTGGCTGGCCAGACCCGGAGATGGAAAGCAGGAAGAAAGTGAGATTACATAGCGACAGGGCAGTCATTGTGAGAAACAAAATGAAGTGGAAAGAAGGAGAAATGAAGCTTGAAATGGAGCTCAGGGTTGTACTCTGCCTCCGAGCACAGCCAGGGAAACAGGCTGGGCATGGCCGGGTACTCCCCTTCGCACCCTTGCCCCACACACCCAGGGAACTCATGGCCTCTCTGCTGGGCAACTTATCAGCCCAGATAGCTGTAACACTGAATAATACCATAAAATGTCCCGTGGGGAAAAAAATTAAGTCCCTGACCCAAAAAGGTCACCTTTAGAAGCATAAATAATCAAGAAACAATAAAATACACGGTGTGAAAAGAATAGTGTGGGATCTTGGTGACTGGGAAGTTTAATGATGGAAGTTCCTGAGGGAGGGTAGGGAAGGGATTATGGTGTTGCACATATCCAGCCATCATTTGGTTTAACCAGTTCTGAAACTAATAAATCTTGGGCTTGAGCACAATCAGTAGGTGGTGGCAAATTTTCTTTTCCAAGAAAGAACGAGTGTTACTCATTCTCCCAAGGTTCAAAACGTGGACAGGTGGGCACTCTCCTACCCTCCCGTTGACTTCAAGGAGGCATGGGGGTGTGAAGGATGCTTTAATCCAAAGTGTGTCTGACTGTGCCATGAATTTCCACATGCCACTACTCTCATCCTGAGGGAGATGACCAGCTCCTTGTAACCCTCTAGTCTCCATCTCAGCATGCTGGCTCTCAACACACTTTGAGGATGCAGCCAGTTCAGAATTATTTGCAATGGCCGTAACAGGACAGCCGAGGACTGGCTGGTTTAGCAGAGGTGATGCCCTGTCAGTATAGCCATGTTACTTGGCTGATCTCCGTTAATAGTGGCTGTGGCTCAGCCCCAAGAGCTGCAGCAGAAAAATGTCTTTCAGGTACTGGTAGACACTTTGGATTCAACACCTCAGCACAAATTTCACAAGCTAAAAGGAGCACCTGTGTGCCTGGCAACAGCACATCCCAGTCCCTCGCAAGTTTTAAAGGAAATATATATTAATAATATTGAGAAACAAATTTTCTGAGCACTTGTGCTGATTTCAGATTAGCTGACAATCCCTGGCTCTCTAGGCTCTCTGAGAGCAAGAAACCCTGCCAGGAGGAAGAGCACTGCAATAGCAAAGGAAAGAAGGGAAGAAATAGCACCACCTCCCTTGCACCGCTAAGCGCACAGAAGAGAGGGTCACTCCTCTTTCTACTGGGGAAGTGGCCGGACACCCCTGTGCCGGGTTGGTGGACTCTGTCAGGTGCTTTGATGCACAGTGGATGAGGAGGGCAGGGCCAGGGACCGTCAGCAGGGCAGCTGCGGGACTTACTGGCAGCCAGGACCAACTCTTTGTGGAGCTTGTATGTCATGACGGGTTCAGACAGGTTCCTGCAATAACCAGAAAGAAAAGTGAGCTCTTGCAGGGCATTGTGACCCACTCGTGACTGATCCAGAAGGACCGACAGGCAAGCCTGCTTGCCATTCAGCACCACTGTTTCCCAGTGGCATCTCCCCCAAAGCCAGTATTATTTAAAACGTTTTCCTCATAGGACGTGAGGTTTCTACAACAGGCATATTGTAATTCAAAAAATCCCACAGCTTTTGTCTTTTCTTTGCCCTTCTCAACAGCCAGATGTTGACATCTGGCAGTTCACATCACTTTTCGCCTGGATCCGCCCCAAGCTCCTTTGCCCACTCGGGGCAGTGAGACCTGCCACGCTACCTGAGATAAAACTTCAGTGAGCTGGTAATCGTCTTGATGTCCCAGTCGCCGCTTTGGAGATCCACGTCCCCTGGACATTTTGGATCTGGAGGAAGAACAAAACGGCTTTAAAATAAAGTCCATGTTGAGGCTGTTAATAAATAGCAGGCTCTCAGGGAGGGTATGCTCTTGAGACAAACGGAGCTAAATACGAGGAAAGCTGCTGATTCTCACGGCCTGGAGCAGAACAACAGTACCAGTGTCAATATTCTGGAAAGGCTGATGAGCTGTGCTAACTAGGGACAAAGGAAGAAGCAGAAGGTAACATTTAAGCAGTGGTGAGAAGTTAGTGATGGCATATTCTCTATAGTTTGTTTTTAATCAGCACAGCCAAGACTGGCTAAAACGACACATTTCAACAGACCCAAGACAAGCTTTCTGATATCCAAAGTAATTAATTGTCTAGCTCCAATCCCTCCTTCGTAGCTACTCCCCTGAAGGCTGTTCTGGAAGCATTCCCTCTCACTGCACAGAGAAGTGGGAGCTCAGAGGAGGAGGCACAGCAGTGTGGAAGTACACTTGGCTCCTGCTTACCCCCACCGAACAACCACATCATTTCTGCACTATGATGAAGTAAAGGGCATGGTTGGAGGATGAGGAGAAGCTGGACTACAGAAATGAACTGCCGGATTTATTTTTTTAAAAATAGGACTAAAGAGCCCTCAAAAAAAAACCCCAAACAACCCAATCTATCGCCTTCCAGATGAAATCCCTCTGCAGCAGTTATTTCTGTGTTGTTTGACTTCCCATCATGAGCTCGTACGCAGCGGGGTGGAAAGTGGTCAAACAGACCCATGCATATAAATACAAGGAAAAGCCACTCCCTGGTGGGATTCAGAGGAGAAAACCACAGAGCTACTCACAGAGAGGGTGAGAATCAAGAAAGAATAAAAACTTAGGCTAAGTAATTAGTCATCAGGCAAGCCTAACTGCATAGCTGTCTGCAGTCGCAGCTCCATGGGAATCGGGTACAGCCATACGTCGGCACAAACCAGCCATTTTAATAAACAACAACAATAGTAAAAGCACTAGTAAACAATAGTAAAAACAATAGTAAAAGCCCTTGAATACTACATTAACATTAGCTGAGGTTAAACCACGACACGTCAGTATGAGGTGTCTGTGCACGGAGCTGGCGCAGCCCGAGGCACACAGCTAGCAGTGCAAGTGTACTTTCTGCCCTGTGCTCCAGCCCCTTGGGCAGGGATGACGAGAACAGCTCGGCCTTTGGGCATGCAGGAGACCGACCCCTAGGGCTCACCTAAGGGGCTCGCAGCCTGCCCTGGCCCACGTGTGCCACGGGGCAGAGGTACGATGGCCTCAGCTGGGTGCCAGCCCGGCACAGAGCAGCGCTGCTGAGCCCCACAGCCTGTTGTGGCGAGTTCAAGCGTTTCTTGTATGAGGACTACCCACCAGCTGACATGCTTGTATAAAATAGAAGATGCAGTGCACAGAAAGGCTTGCAGCAGAAAAGCTTACATCGACTTATTAACATATACTTTGCATACAGTGAGATATCCCACTCCTTCCCAGTATAGCTCCCTGTGATAATCCACTGAGGACAAGGGTCCCTCTGAGCCCATCCACAGGGGCTGGTTTAGGAGGGGGCTGTGCTGAACCTGTGGGACACAGCCAGACGAGGTCCCCAGCAGCAGCGCTGCAGGTGGGGCTGTAGAACAAGGTCCACGGGATCCTACACGCTGGTAACAACCCCAACCTCTGGGTCTGGTTCTCATTTGTACGGCCTAAGTAAGAATAGGGACACAGGCTGTTCTCAAGGGAAAGGAGCCGTGATGGCTGGTCAGCAGTGATTCTTGTCGTTGCCCGAGCATCGGGTGATGCTGGCAAACCCGTGCCACGTGCACCTGAGCGTGTGAGCAGCCTCCCTGTCCATGGCCCCTCCGCTGCTGCTGTGGCTCAACCGGAGGTTCCACAGCCCGGGACCTGCCAGCCATGCAGGCAACGGAGCAGAGGGAGAAGGCTCATCTCTCTTTGGCCGATGTCCCACATCTCAGGCCTTTGGCAGGAACGTGTCCCCAGCATGTGACTCCTAAATATTTTTAGCATGCGAAGGGAGAAGCCTTGTCCCCACTGCTCCAGGGTCACCGCCTCCCTTTATCTCGCTGCTGCTCACTTAACTTAAAATGCAGGTTGGACCACCACACACAAACAGAGTTTAAAGGGAGAGGCACTAGAGTGGGTTGGAGAATAAAGTCCAGAAAAGAAGGGGCAGATGTGCCTCAGGGGGGACGCAGCTACCCAAATCCACGCTGGACAACCCTCCCTGTGAAACTCAATTCTCTCGTTCCCTCTTAAACAACACAAGAACAGCACATTCTAGCTGTACAGAATAATTAATTCTTACCAAAAAAGGCATTCAGCAACTTCTGCACCTGGATATTGCTGCCAACAGTCCGGTAGACGCCCTCCGTAGTAATGCCTGAGCAGGAGAAAGCCACAGTGTGTCAGCCAAGGGTGGGAAGTCTCAAAGCCCCATCTAGTGGAAATCCAGCTGTTGCTGCTGGCTCAGCAGACACCTTCTGCCCCAGGAACAACCCTGTCTCTGTCCCCCCTGCACTTCGGGATGCCCCGCAGCTGGCTCCCTGGCAGAGGCCAAGGCAGCAGCTCCCCTCGCCGACGGCCGGCATGGCCACCGCTGCAGGCAGGATGTGGGTGTGCTGCCAGGAGGGTGACGTGGTCAAGCGAGCACGGCCAACACGTGGTGTATGGGCTCGAGCTGGCCAGCGCTACCTGCCCAAAGATGCCATTTCTGGAGTGTGTTGCTTTAACGGGAGTTTGTTCAACTTGTCACAGAGCCAACGCTTTCAAGCAGATTCTTTAAAATATCAGCCAATGTTAGGAAAGACAGAACCGCTGTACCTGCCTGGCTCTGCGAGGAGGGTCTCGTTACCCCACTCCTCCCCACTTCAGTGGGGCTTGGCTGGTCACATCCCCCAAAGGGTCTGGAAATGAAACCATGGCTGCCTCTCCCTGCAGCAGCCTGGGGATCCAGCTGTTCTGGAGTGATTTACCTTCATCCAATACCCACACCGGCAACGTGGGTGGCTGGGCGTTTCGTGAAGGGCCAGAGGGTGAGCTATCATCCATCAGCCTGCTGCTGTCCATCCAGGGATGGGATGTCTTCCAGGCAAGGCTGGATGAGGCTTTGACCAACCTGGTCTAGTGGAAGGTGTCCCTGTCCATGGCAGGGGGGTTGGAACCAGAGGATCTTTAAGGTCCCTTCCAACCCAAACCATTCTGTGATTCTGTCCTAATGCTTTTAACAAAATGGGTCTGATAACCCAGTATTCCAGTTAACCCGTCTGTCACCCCAGCAGACTTCCAGACCTGTTCTCCTTCTGCCTAACAATGAGTTTTCTCAGGGCCAAAGATGAGAAGCCGATGAATGAAAACAGCATAAAGGTGGAAATCCAATCATTACTGAATTTGGTATAACGACACTGCAAGCAGCACAGGCTTTCCACTTCCCTGGCATGCATTCCTCTGTTAGAAGTCAAAGTCTCGTTTCACAAACTAACATACTGCAGAAAGCATAATGGAATTCAAGACCACGGGAAGCAACGCCAGGATGGTGGCACCTCCCGATGCCAAGGCATCTTACCTTTCGTTTCCACTGCGTTGATGCACTTCCGCACAAACTTGAAGCCGACCTCGTTCAGCTCCACTGTTTCAAACAAGGGAAGCAGTGTTAGCTGCCTGAGCACCAGCACGTGGATCCCCATGGATAACTACTGGGAAGGCCCCATACCCAGAGCCTGCTCGGCGCACAAAGCTGCGCTGCAGAGCCGGGTTCACATGTGCATCCACGTCGTGTGCACCCCTCCACGAAAACACAGGCATTCTTTAAATCCCGACAAGGCATTATTAGTTTCATATGTTCTCCATTTTTCCTTGAGCCTATTTTGAGTTACAGCATTGCTCCCTACCCCCTTTCTGTCTTTAATAATAAAAGCATAAATCAGAGGCCCACCACATGTGAACTTGCGTCTGATAAGGGGTTGATTAATCATTTCCAGAGCACTGCAAAATCTGCAGTTCAAGTTCTTCCACATCATAGGATCGTGTAATTTCTGCTTATCTACTTGACTAGATTAAAAAGCAAAAACAATATGGCTTGATACACAGAGTAAAGCAGAACACAGGTTTTTGTTCCGGCCAATTAACCACAGACTATCTCTCTGCCTGTTCTGGAGGCATCATGAGGCAGATAGAAAAGTCGGGATATTTTCTATACACATATTTCAACTTCTGTAATCACGCTACTACTTCTGCTATTTTTTTCAGGGTGTGTGGAAGGATTGTCCAAGTTATAACACGAAATCTCTTTCTGTTCAGTGCAAACATTTATACTGAATTTCTCCTAAATGACCATGCTGTTGTTTGGTTTGGTTTTGGGGGAAGGGGTAGCTGTAGGGCTTTTTTGAGGGATGGTTGTTGGTTGTTTTTTTTTTTTTTTCTTAATGTGAAACAACATTCTACTTGAAAAATCAGCCACGTCTGGACCAACTCCAGTCACAGCACAGACCATGTTGGCAAATCCTCTGAAATCACTGTATTTTCAGCAAGTTATTTATAACGATTCTTTCTTCTCTGAGCAACAGCCATGAAAAGCTCAGACATATCTCAGCTCTAACACAGGAGTGAGTGAAGACACCATTAAACACTGACACCAAGTACTGAGTGGTATAATACCACTTGAACTCTTTCTAGCTCTAATCTATTAAAAATAGAGTGTATTTACTTTTGTGAAACACTGAGTCACATTCTTTCCAGGCGTGTAATGCCAACACAGTCAAACAACAGGTTTTATGCTTACGCCTCTGATGCTGCTACCTCTATGCTAATCAAAGTCAGCTCATTAAAGTGCTGATAAAAGTAAGCTCTAAGATAGAGAACACAAGTTTTCACCCAGCTAACAAATGCTCAGAGTTTTCCAAGGCAGCACGCTCAGGCACTGCAGTAACAGGCTGTGAACAGGGACCAGCAAGAGGGGCAGCAGGGTACACCCCGCTCGTTGACGGGGGAGACACAGGGCACGGTGGTGGGATGGGAGCTTCAGGGAACTAGATGCCACCTCTATTTTCCTATTACAATCTTTGCTAAGGGAAATGTCCTCAGAATCTCTCACTGGTCTTTTTTCCCCGCTGTTATTTTGGGGTTTAGGGTTTAGAACATCCCACTAGTTCTTGCTAAATAAAAACTGCACATTGCAATCAATAACTTTTACCGTTTGTAACTCATTCTTATCTGGCCTCAGTATCAGGCACTGATGAAAAGGAAAGAAGTTACACTGCTTCCATGGTGGGAATACACAGCCTATTCAGCAGAAATTGAGGATGAGTGTATTTGCAAGGAAATACACGGCCCGACCTCCCGAAAGCTTCTACAGCTCAGAGGAACAGCAACAGAAATGACTCACTTTCTTCCTGTTTTGTGATGGGACTGTGGTAGATCTGGAAAAAAAAAAAAAAGGGTGGGGAGGGAAGGGAGGAGGAAGAAACAAAAACATAATGCAGTGTGATTTGATATTTATTTTCAGAAGAAAATGCAGCACCCCACACATCACCCCCAGCCAATCACACACAGTAAGACAACATCCCAAAGAAAGTAACTTTAAATTAAGCAAGATACCATTATTTATACAATACATGAGTTTTCGCTTACTTCCTACATTTCAGTGGAAAGCCTATATTTAGGTTTCCTAAAAACTGAACAGGAAACTTTGTTTGTCCTTTAATCAACCTGTAAAAATGGCAGCTGGACAGTCTGGCACACAGGGGTTGTGTTTTTTTGTTTGCTTGCTTTTAAAAATTCAAGTGTCAAGACATTCCTTCATCCCATAAAAAAATACATCTTGTATTTTTAAAGTAATAATAAACAGTGGGTGCCATCCTTGATAGAAAATGAAAAGTCCTTTATACATAGTAACACATCACGTAAGCCGAGTGAGCCCCAGACATCCCCTAAGCAACAGCACGAGCCCAGCACGAGCACACTGACCCTCTCCACACTATTCCATGGCCTTTTTAAACAAGGAGAAAAGCGCTGCAGAGGGAGCCCATGTTCCATCTCCCTGCTCCCACGTCCCATCTCCACATCAGCAGCCACACAGCCCTGAGCTACTCCATCCTGCCAGCCCATTCACTGCCAACCCTCTTCACGGAGCCCACCGAGGGAAGGGCAGCTCTCCAAAGGCAAGGGGAGCTGCCAGAAATGGGTTTTCCCTGCCCTGCACATCACGCTGTCCATTTAGTTTGGGAATTAGGAAATTTGGTCAAGTGCGGGAGTCCGTGCTTTGCTGAGACTGCAGAAGGAAACACCAGCAGGCACAGAGAGGCGGGTGAGCACTGGAGCAGGGTGGCTGCTCCCATGGGCCAGACTGTGCCAGCGCTGCTCAGAGCAAGGACAGACAAAACATCACCTCTCGCAGGTCGGAGAGCGAGTTGGGAGCAACAGAGACATGGAGCATCCCAAACTCGGTAAGGCCACAGTCCATAGGCAGCCTGACCCAACTAGGGAACGCACCAGAGCTTTAAAATCCCCGTCACAAGCTGCGCGGCCAGCACGAAGGCCCATTTCAGCCGTGCAGTGCCCGAAGAGCCGGGAAGCAGCAGCAACGAAGCGGCAGCGGGGACAGCAGCCGGGCAGGGCCACCACGCTTCCCCGGGAGCCGCCGGCAGAGGACACTGCTCGGCAGCGGGACCAACTCACCGGCTCCTTCCCGTCCATGGCCTCCATCCACAGCCTTCGGTTGGCTTCCGAGAGCGCTTGCAGCGTGATGGTCCCAGACCTGCGCAGGGTTCATCCGGGGACAGGCAGGAAAATGAAGCAAAAGCTGGTTTTAATAAAGAGCAAAGAGCGATTTCACGCAGGTTTACAGGGCTTGGAGGCTTTGTGAATACGGAGCATCTCACCTCTCGTTAGTTTCAATGTCAAAACAAAACCTTTTGTCTATAGAGTCAGTCTTTCTCCTTACGCAGGATTTCAGGGTCAGGTCTAAGGTGCCCTAGGAGAGACGAGAGCCAAGGTTTAGAGGAGAGGAACCCAAGAGAAGGTTGCAGGGCTGCAGCCTAGCGCAGCCCTGCCCCGGAGAGCACCAGGCTCCCAGCGGGTACCCTGCAACCCCCAGAGCACTGGTACCAGGAGCACAGACTGTCCTTCCCACCATCAAAGAGATCAAAGGCTTTGTGAGCCAGGCTTTCTCTCCGCAGCCACAAGATGTTCTAGACTTCACGGCACTACCCCGCAAACAAGCGCTAAATACCTCAGCACCACGCAGTAAGTCTCCAGAGGGCAGGAAAGCTGCTGTCAACAAACCTCATGGCGCAGTCGCTTACTTGGCTGAGGCCAGGACTCTGCTTGTCTGTTATCTGAGGCACCTGGGTCCTAATTTTTATCAGGGCTGATCAGCACTACCAATTATCCAGAGCATTCATGGCCCAAAACAGCTTTACACAAAATACCTTGTAGAAAAAGAATGTTAACGGACCAAAACTGGAGTAGATGCACCCTGATGAAAAGGCCAGCACCACGGGGCTGAGGTCTAGCCTTTTGCGTTTGTGCCCCTTAATAAAGGGGCATTAACTGACCCTACAGTAGAGTCAATTTGTAACGTGATGGTGAGATCTCCGCAATTCTGCAGAAACTCTGAAGAGACACCCTGCAGACCTTACAGCAACCAGACCCTAGGGCTGAATCTGCAAGCCTGGAACGTGTTCATCACCCCGTCACCGCCACGACTGTCACCGCCCCTGCATCTGCAAGGCCTCCAGCAGGAGCAAACCAAGCAGGTCTAGGACAGCACGGCGGCACGGACAGCCTCCTCTAAGCTTACATCCAGCATACACATCGTGACGATCATCTCCTGGCTGTCTTTGTGCGTGTGCTGGCTGTTCGGGACTTTTAAGAGCGCTCGTAATCGTGGTATTTGAAGCTGTGTGGCTATCTGTGACCCTAAGGCACAGATTACCAGACTGCAGGAGTTTGGGAAAGTGACTAATTTCCATTTTTACAAGCCCCTACCTGCATTAATTGGCCTTGCTAGACATGTTTATGGCAGAGATGACAACAGATCTCTCCAGTCCATGTTTTGGACATTTCTTTGCCAAGGTCTCTGCCAAGGGCTTCCAAAAAATACATCTTTTTTTATTGCTGCAGCGTGCAGAGGGCTGCCAAAGAACAGACCGTGAGATCACGAACTGGAGAACAGCACGCCTGACTGGGAAGTCTCCAGGGAACGTTGCTCCATGGCAGTGGAGGGCGGGTGGACTCAGCTGGACGCACTTGCTGTACTCCGAGCTACGGTCCGTCATCCATGCCAGCACCCTACCCCTCCTCTGTCACTCCGAGGAACTGCAGGAAACTCCCAGACACACTGCTCACTTAAAAACCAAAGCATTTCGTGAAAGAAACAGCTCCCCAAATTGTTGCCTTATTGCACAATTTAGAGCCGCAACTGCAGCCCTCTCCTAACACCAGTCCCACTCACGCACAACCGGTTCTGAGAACAAATCAAAATCACAAAGACTGTGTGAGCATGCAAGGGCAGAGAAACACTGCTTTTGGATGCACTCATCTAATGACTTGAGTAATTCAAGTACTTGTCATCTCTGCCAGAGGCCTACATGCACACCAGGCTGCAGGCTCACCACCCATTTGCATGGAGAAATATAAAAATTAGCTTGTCTAGAAAGGCAGAAATTCTGCACTAGACCAAACTGGCAAGTCACCACTGCCCGAATAACGCTCGCGTCGCACGAACTCGCGTCTCCACTGCCAAACCCCGCCGGGCTTCGGGTCATTTGGGAGAGAGGGAGGTGAAACTTCTCTTCACAGAGGTGCTTCCTTCAGGTTGCACCACAGCACCTGCCTGCGTGGCCAGGCAGGGAGGGGACACGAATCTCCTCTGTGGCCAGGAGCCCTTCCACAGCTGCAGCGCTGGGACCAAGCCCACCATCAGCATGTCTGGAGAAGTGGGGCTGGCCTCTGCTGCCCTGCACGGGGCATCTGTATGTCTGTTTGCTTACGGAAAGGGATGACGTGGGCAGGTTGAAGGTGAGACCTGATGGCTGTGTCAGTGTTTGCAGATATCATTCCAGGAAACCAACTCACTTGCTTAGCTCCGGGCTTCTGGTCCATGGGCGTCATCCGTAAGGTTTTTGCCTCTTTTTCGTACTGGCAGTAATATTTCACCCAGGAGATGCCCAACGCCCCTGCAGAAACACACGGAAAGCTGGAGTCAGAGATGGAACCTTGGTTGGACACAGCTGGTGTTTTCCATGTGTCCACAATTCTCTGGGGAGGGACACTGCCAGCCCCATGGGGACACCTCCCTCGTCAGTGCCTCCCACTGGCAAGATCTGAGAGGAGAGAAGGGAGAGGAGGAGCCCTCCCAAAACACTGCTGGTGAAAGGGCGTTTGTGGAACTCTGGTCACAAGCCAGGCTGGTTTGGGGAAGTGCAGCCAAGACCCACACCAGCACGATCCTACGTGTCTTGAATGCTTGTTTCACAGACACCACTATTTTTTCCTGTTGATGAAAACTTGGCAGGAAAGACAACAGCATCTTTAAAACACTCTGAAGTTCCTATTTATATCACAGTAGGTTTATTGTCACTTTTCTTTGTTGTCTTACTTCAACCCTTTTATATGAAATACTTCAATAGATATTTTTTCTGGATTTTTTTTTTAAGTTGCAGTGCCAGGAGGAACAACTCTCTGCATAGTTGGTTTATAGGGGAAACAGAAACAGAGGCAGCAAACCGTCACTGGCATGCAGGAACATGCAACGTGTCTTTGTGATCTAAAATTACTGTCTATGTGTTTTCTTTTAAAAGCAGGATAAACATGCATAAAAATATATGTAGAACTACATTTGTATATATAATGCAAAAATAACTGTGCACAGTGTAAGCTGACTGTAGACTCCGAGGCCACAGCTCTGCATACAGGCTTTTGCCTCCCTAGTGTTCATGCCTGCATGGCTGTGTAAAGCTACAGTGAGTATTTGTAAAAAACTGAATTTGGTTTGATTTGATTCTGCACAGAATCACGTTTCACTCTCAGTAGCTTAACTCTCATTGCTGTTTAACACTTCAGCTGTGCTCAGATGCCCTCAGAGACGCTGGGAAAGGGAAGCTGGGCTGGACACCAGCTTCGTTTGGATAAAACACAGCCAAGGTACAATCTGCCAGAGCTATGGTCTCTCCAGCGCTACAGCACAGTAATAAATCTCATCTAATTGGAGTGCAAGGCAATTAGCTCCTTGCTTACACGGCTCATGTAACCCGGAGAAAGCTCTGTGCCTTCACTGAGAAAGCTGGCAGCTTAAACTGCCGGCGATTCCCCGGGCACCCTGTGCACTGGCAGGCAGTGAGCCCACAGCGGTGCCACGGGTCAAGCTGGCCTGAGCAGGGGAGCCCAGCCCACGCTGCAGGGCTACGAGCAGGACAGCCCAGGCTTACACAGTCTTTAACCCATTCAGGTGCATACAAAAGCCATTACATTTCTCCTGAGTGTAGAGATAGCCCTCAATGGTCGGCTGCCCAGGTAGCTTGCAGGTTAAGGGGGCTTCCTTCATCCTCTTCTTCAGGTCTTCCAGCTCCTCCCGCGTGCTGGAAAAATGATTTCTTGTCTGTTAAGAGAAAACAAAAGGAAGCACATTTGAACATTAACCAAGAGCAAGCTTCAGGTATCCGTGGACAAATTTTAGGTGCTCTAGCAGAAATTAATTGGTCCTCAATGGACAAAATGCAGAAGCCACTCCACAAATTCACACGAAAACCCCAGCTATAAGAACACTGGGCTCTTAAAAAGGTGATGGAAGAGATAAGGTTGAACATAACGTGCATGAAAAGGTGTTGAGGAGTTATGACTGGGAGGGCACTTGTTCTTTCAATAAGTGAAAGTCAGCACATTTTAAGGCTAGGTGGAGCAGAAGGAAGCAGCTGAACTCCTCTTTGCACCACTGTTTAGGTAACAGGTGTATTCTCCTACAAACACGGATGTCGATTCCTCAAAAGGTCGTGCTACATTGCTTGGCATGCAATCATTTTTAAAGAGTCACATGAACACAGGGTACAAAATCAAGGCATTTTTATGGAACACCTCTTAGACCAATTAATGGGCCAGCAGCAAAGTTAGCTTAGCACAGATTTGTGGCTGGCTTGTCCATGGTAATGAGGGCCAGCCATGAAAGACTGAGGATAAAAGGAAAGAGGATGCAGGTATTTTATGCCCTGGGTATACTTAGCCAGCAGAGGAGCTTACCAAAGCATGTAGTAAACCGATACAATTAAGATCAAGATTGGAGGCCTTTTTAGAAGACATGTACAATTTTGATCTCATGAAATGGGAATAAATTCTCGGGCTTGTTTACGCACAAGGTTAAATGATTCAATTGGAATAGCCATTTCTAGACAGAGAAAAACACTACAATAGCACCTGCAGACTCTTGTGCAGGAGAGGAGAAAATGCATGTGAACTGAGAGGGAAATAACCTCATCTGCACCTCCCACAATGCAAACACAGACGGTCTGTTTTGCATGGAAAAGCCCTCCCACCAGAGGTGTTTAAATAGAAATGAGAACAGAAGTCACATGCAAAAAATACTTCAGCTGGGCAGGAACTCACATTCTGCAGGCTGAGCTGAAGCTGCTGTTTATAAGGGAGGAAATCCTGTGTGAGCTCAACTGTCAGGTTGTTGTAAGTAAAGAGGCTGTGGAGAAAAGCCAGCACCTGCAAAGGAGGGAAAGGACACAGATAAACTTCTTCATTTCTAATCGGAGGAAAGATAGACAGGAAAAAGAGTTTAGAAAATACATATACATATTTTTTTCTATGAATTTTGGAGTGATACCAGTTTTAATATGACTTACCCACCACAATGTACCTAAAGCCCAGGTCTACCACTCACACATCTGTCTTCATAAAACACCCCCGAGACGAAAGACGCCGCTGGGAGAACAAAAACCTCGCCCACGAGACCTACACGATCCCACGCTCAGCCGCCTCCGGCACCGGGGCAGAGCCACCCACCCAGGGCAGGGTCCTGGTGCACAGCCACAAGCTGGTACCACTGCAGCCTGTGCCACGACAGGTAAGCAGACCAGATAACATCTCTCTCCCTCCAAAGACAGCTAGCGCTTACCAAACACAAGGTATCCCACATAATTCATAACTAGACCTCTGGCAACCTACAGCATCCAGCCTGTTTCTCAGGATCGACTTACAGACATGAGAAACAAGACTGTGGCTTCATGGTGCTCCAGCAAACACCACTAAGGATGTTAAGCTGCAGCAATCCAAGCGTGCAGGGTTAATTCCTGCTCAATCACAAGACTCCCCAGGACCAAATCCAACCTGCTACCTCATCCCTTCTTGCCACTGCCAGCAAGTCAGCACACCTGAGCATCAAACAACAAGGCCTGAAAGAAAAAGAAGCTCCTACCGGTTCAACAATACTGAATTTCTTGCTTTCTTGTACTTCCTGGATTTGGTACACATACTCGAGGGAGGACTCAAAGAAATTGTGTCTCTCTTTGTCAACCTGAAGGTCAGCCTGGAAGAAAGAGGGAGAGGTAAGAAAACAAAATACATCACATATTTGACTATTTGAGCAGCATTTGCCTGTCCGCCCACAAACAGTTTAATCCTCACTTAAGAAAAAGCCTGCCAAAGGTGCCCAGCCCAGGTTTTGAACACTTTGCAGACCCAGAAAACTGGAATGTTGGCCATTCTTCCCCGGCCTGCCCTTGTCTGACTTCCTTTCATGTATGGATCCAGAACCTCACTCCCCTCTGCAAGGACACAGCTTTCCCCGAAGTGTGTTTGTTATTTCAGCGTAAGCTCCTTCTCTACCCACAACCTTACACCGGTGAGGACAAGGCCACTGTCACAATCCTCTTGCTTGACTCCTGCTGGGACCCAAAATCAGCAACTCCAGAGCTGCAGCACCAGGTAGGACAACGTGGTGTGTGGTGTTACCACAGCTTACACAAACTTTGCCTTGAGAAGATGCTTGTAGGTCAATCTGACAACTGGTTTGACAGAGCTGATTTGATCTGACTACTCTGATGTGGGCTGCAACAGCTGGGGCTTTCCTCTCTTGTTGCAACATGCCTGGTGGCAGCATCAGCTCAAAGCAGCACCATCCCTCCTCTGCCTGCTGCTACAACTACCCCCACAAATGACAGCAGCCAGGCAGGACACCAGGCTGGCAAAAATAATAATAACCAGTTATTTTTCAGCCAGATCATCTCCCCAAGCCAGTTTAAAGGGTGGCCAAGCCTCAGCTGTGCCAGCATAGCTGGTCACTGTCCTATACTACAGGGGTGAGAACAAGAGATGACAATGCATAAAGCCACTACTGCTCCCTGATGTTCTACAGTGAACTACCACGTCGATATCCCTCGTCCCCTCCATATGAATAAGCTTTAGGTAGATCTAATTGCTTATCAATTTCAACCAGTTACTGAAAGGAATGATTTTTTCTCCCCTTTTTTTAAGATCTAGAGCAGCTGATGATGTTGCTTCTGGACCCAGCTGAAGAAAACTCCATACAGACCTCCTGTAATTGTGATTCCTTCTTTTTGGAAGACAAATGCAAATGGCGATCCAGCATAGAATAAAACTTCTCACCATCCTTCTCAAACTTCTTCTTTCTTTCCTGTAGATGCAAGAGTTGAGGCAGAACCAGTTATTGGTATTTTCCAGGTAAGAACATGCAACATCACCAAATTCTTTTGTACAATGCAGTCAGTATTCCCAAGGAAAATTTCTGGTCAACCCAACCAGAACAGGAGGCCACTTTCCATTTGCTCTGCTTTCACAGTCTGTTACCTACACGGGATTTAGTTATGCCTCAAGACCAAGCTCTGGCAATACTTTGGCACAGGCACCTGAAATATTTTGTCATGTCAGCATTGTGGCAAAAGCCCCAACGACGAGGTATTGTTTCCCCTCTCAACCTCTTCAACATCAAGTAAGTTTGAGACACACTAATGCACCAGAAACGTATTCACTATTTGCTAACGTGCTGTTCACACGGTTCAGAAACAACTGGGTAAATGCTTTAATGCCAGAGACATGGCCAGGATAAGAAAAGATTTTTTAGGAGTTTGGCCATTTTCTGCTTTGATGCTTTTATTGTGTTTCTGAAAAGTACTTGGATATCAGGAAAAAATTCTTCCCGGAGAGGGTGGTGAGGCACTGGCACAGGTTGCCCAGAGAAGCTGTGGATGCCCCATCCCTGGAAGTGTTCAAGGCCAGGCTGGATGAGGCTTTGAGCAACCTGGTCTAGTGGAAGGTGTCCCTACTCATGGCAGGGCGTGGAACTAGATGGTCTTTAAGGTCCCTTCCAACCCAAACCATCCTGTGATTCTATCAGAAGGAAAGCAGATGACAAGAAGGGAGATGCATGGGAGTGAAGTCATCATTTCTTTATCAACAGGGGTAGAAAGAGGGTTCACAGACCTTGCAAGTCAAATCTTACTCAAGTTTTACTGTGTAGTGCCCAGCCTGAATACAGCCCAGGGGCAGGCTGCCTCACACATCGCTGTTTTACAGTGAACAACAGGAAGATCTCCCCTCTTGGGGGTCTCCTGCAGATGGTCTGGTACATCCCAAACACTAGCACTGGCATGTGAACACAAAGTGTGGACTGATTTGTTAAGATAAAAAAAAGACTTTGTGAAGGAACCACTATAACAAAAGAAGTTGTTTGCACTGGCAAACCCGAAAGGGTAAATGTCCAAAAAGAAAGCAAAAGGAGACATTTGAGAACGAAACCCAGACAGCACACAGGGAAGATCTGAGCTGAAGATCTGGCTGTTTGCTTATGCCTTACGACTGTGAAACCATGGAGGACTGTGGCAATCAAGAAACAACGATGAGTAGAAGCCAGCTGACAAATAACCACATCAGATGGTAACCGAGCCATCAGCGATTGCTGAGAGGCAGTTAAATTGCTAAAATAAGGAAATCCCAGCCAGGCAGCAGTCTCAATGCCAGGTCCAAGTAGCTGAGGACTAAAGTATGCATACTACAGGGACGTATAGGATGCCCAAATCCTCCACCTAGCTTTTGAAAGCTCAAGAAAGTGGAAAGCAGAGTAAGAAAATTCCAACCTACTATGGAATTAATGATATATTTCAACAATTACCTGAAAGACCTGAAACGCTGCTCTCTTGCCCCATTCAGAAATTCATGAACAAGCAAACACACACTAATGCCACCACGAAACAGAGTAGATGGACTCTGCCAGACCAGTGGATATTAGTTATTTTCCTCATGAATTCAGCAGTGACTGCAAAGTTTGAAGCTGTTTCCTACATAAAGTCCTTTCTCTTTCATCAGTCAGTTCTGCCATGAAGTTTTGCTTCCCCATTCCGCTTGCACAGACTGTCTAATGGGATGTCCTACACAGCAGGATATCTGGGGGCTCCCAAAACTGGTACTTGGCTCAGCATGGTTAGCCCCCACCTCACTGCCTCTCATCCTTGGAGTCCGTCACTCACAGCAGCTACTGCCGTATTGCTTCTGGAAGAAGAAATGTTATTTTCTGTTGGATACACGAAGGCAGACACTCGTAGGTTGTTTACTGGAGCACTGGAAGCTTGCACAGCTCCCCACGTTACCCATCGTGGGTAGCACCTGTCAGAGCAGGACAAAGGCTCTTCATTCAACAGCTCCTGGCAATAGCATCTCAGCCTTTGCTGAAGGAGTACCCGGGCTTGTGTTGGTGGACACGGTTCCTTAGGGGCACCTCAGACAGGGTGGACAGGCATTACTGCCAGCTGCCTTCCTACGAAAAGGATTTCTCACCCCACAAGAGTCCTGTTGCTCTAACCCTTGCACACTGCTGTTGTGAAAGCACAATTACTATGGAAAAATGCAGAGGCATCAACTCAAATGCTTATATTTAACTGTCTGGAGTAGGGCAGGCTTAGACCAGCAAACCTTTTTACCCCAGTAATTACACCTACTGCTCAGAGACCCTGTAATTACACCACCCCTACAGGGAAGTGTATCTTCTGGTGTCATCCTCCGCAGTACCAGGGACACTGTAATTCACGTTAGCAAATTCATGCTTTGGAATAAAAAGAGATCCATATCAAATCCAGAGAAGCAGTGTCCTCCAAGAACGAAACCTAATTAAAGCAGCACTGTAGCTAGAGAGCCGATGCCAGAAGGACTGTCAAAATAAAACACCACCCTTGTGACTAACATCCCTGATAAATAAATCCAAACCCAGAGAAGCAAAAGTGTTTGGGAAGCAGCAATTATCCTGTCTGTAAGGCCACGCTCCTAGACTGTCTGTGCCATTAGCTGCCATGCCTAACGCAGCCAGGAACCTAGGTATGTTTTCATTTCTATGACGAGGTGCCCAAACCCCAAGGCCACAGAAGCACGGTAAGGAAGAGCTGCACCAAGAGCACCTGTGGCTGATGCAGTGCTGCAGGTCTGCAGCTCACACCTCTCCTGCTGCCGGCTTCTTGCATCTCAGAGAGGATGGCTACACTGGCAGCGGGCCCCAAAACCCTCTGCTGACGGAAAGCTAGCTCCCAACCCAACCAGCTCATCCCCATGGAGGTGGCATGCAGAGGTGGTCTTTACACAGCAAGGGACAGCACCAGCCCTGCTCCTCAAGGGGACCCGCAGGCGAGGGGCTGAAGCACACTCCAAGTGTCCTGTTCTGCCTCTGGACGCCGGCGAGCAGCACACAGAGGGTGACTTGGCCATCCCCACCCTGGTCGAGTGGCCAAGAGGGATGGCAGCCACGCTCCAGCCCAGAGCAGGGACTAACCTTTACCGCTCTCCGCCTGGGTGGCTGCTCCAGAGCTATGGGAAAGCGCAGGGCGAGGGAGCAGGTGCCCACCAGCGCCTGTCGCCAATGCAGGGAGGCACAGCAGTGGTGCCAAGCAGGGCAGGGGGACGTGCCTCTGGATGCAGCAGCATGGGAGCGCACGGCTAGCAGCGAGGCGAGTATCTCATCCCCAGGAGAAGCAACATCACTGCGGGTGGATGTGGTGCCCATGCAGACGGCCACAGGACCACAAACCTGCGACCACAGGGAGACCATGAGCTGGGGCCCACACAGCAGCTCTGCCGTGGGCAGGTCCCTGCAGGCAGACACGGCCTGTCCTGCAGGCAGGTAGTCATCTCTGCAGCAGCAAAGATGGGTGAAAAGAAAGAAAATGTAATGGAAGAGATTTTTCGTCAGCAGGAGATCAGAGGCCAGAGAGGAACACCTGCAGGGTACACCTCCTCCTCTGCCAGCACCCACGGGCAGGAAGGGGTATGTGGCCATGCCAGGAGTGCGGAGGGCTGAGCTCTCCCCGGGGATCGAAGGGATCGGGAACGATGGCTGAGACAGGCACTAGTGTGGCTCCTGCAGAACCGCAGCCACGCAGTAAAGCAGCACAGCACACAACAGCGGTTTTGGCCACTGAAAGGGACTTGCCAATCATTTCCCTCTCTGGCTAATTAACATATAACTGAAAAGCAAAAGGATGAACTACACATTCCTCCTGATTGTCAAGCCAAGGCTTCTAACAGCTTGCTGGCTGCTGAACAGAGCAAGCCGTGACAAAAACACCACGAAAAAACCACCCAGACTGAAGCACAATCTGGAAACATGAGTACAAATTAGTTCCTCGTGAATATTCAGAGGACAGCATCACCTTCCCACTAAGATTTGCCAAGTCCAAGAAGCCACCCAACATTTATTTGCTCACCAAGAGAACCGAGGCAATTTCACCCGAATGCGGGCAGAAGCAGCAGTGAAGGAGGGTGCCCTTCAAAAGCTTTGCTCCCTGAGCTTCAGCAGATGCTGCTTTAAGCAGAAACGAGCAGGAGCCCGAGGAACAGCACCGGCTGCCCAGTCCAGCAGTCGATCCATCAGCAGCTTCGGCTAGCTCCGCTAGTGCGGGGTCCTGCCCTGCACACCGGCTGCTGTTGGGAGCGGGGCAAAGCCGGAGCCCCTTGGCAGCGGCTCTGTTTCAGCTTCAGCAAGAGATGGAGCAGCTGAGGACGGGGGGGGGAGCAGCTGAAAGCCTGTAAAGATTAAATGAATACGCTTTCTGCATTTCCTGCCCCGTTTTGATGAAGGCAACAATAACCCTGCTGGAATCGCAGCAGAGCTACGGTGCTCACAACACGGATGCCCAGGAACGGAGACCAACGGGGATGTGTTCACCAGCACGTGATAACAAAGACAGCCCTGAATAAATGCAAACCTCAAATCAGTTTGGGGAAATCACAAGCTGTTGCTGAAGAGGAGCTGAAGGCACGAGATGGGTGGCAGGTTCTGCTCCAGCTCGCGGCCTCATTTGGCAAACGGCGGAGGGAAGAAATGGGAAAAAGAGAAATATGTGCAATTATATTTGTGGGTTTAAATCATCATTTTTATAAAAAGGGAAAAAAAACCCAAAACCCAACACAGAAACTGTTTTTTTCCACAGTCCAGACTGACGTTTGACTGCTTGTTCTATTGTGTATGGAAACTCATTGCCAGCATGGGTTGATCTGTTTTGGTTTTTATTCTGCATACAATTACGCCCCATTCTGGCAGTTAATCCACGGCCTTTTGGGATGCTGCACTACTATTTGTAAGCTTTTAAAATTATTTTTATATTATAATTATGGAACAAGGAAAAAATACTTCGTGCCAGAGTTTAACTAATTTTTGTGATGCCTCAGCAGTTAATAGAAAAAACCAGATAATTTCTAAAAAGTAAAATCCTGTTGAGGGTTGTAGAAACAGCTTTTCTATAAAACCACATTCAATTTAACCTGGTCTTTCTCCCTCACTCACTGCATTTTTTCAAATACTCCTCAGATCTTGCTCCCACAGAGATGAAAGCAAGTAAAAGTTATTGTCCTCCCTGTCTTTTAAAATTGTTATTAATGAAATATTAGTAACAGAATTAACCAGGTGCTTTTAGGAATACATGTTATCTCCCATGTAAGAACTTATTGAAAAGCACTCCAATTATTCAGCATCCCAGAGCGTAGTAAACATTCCTCCGCAGCTCACAATGACTCCGAACAAGTTTTTCCTCGACTTTTTTGGTTTGTGTTTTGGTTTTTTTTTTTTAAAAAAAAGCTGTCTCTTTCCAAGTGGAATTAGAATGAAACTTCTTCCATTCAAATCCTCCTAAACTTAATGACTGCAGCAAGGCTCTTAAGGACAGTACGCCGCCTCAAACAGCTTCTGCCAAACAGAGATGGCACAAACCCCACCGAGGTCATTGCCTGCATGGACCAGCAGCCTCCATATGATCACACGTGAAATGAAAAAATAGACTACCCCAAACGCTCTCTCCCTTGAGTAACACCTGCGCCTCCCTGATGCCACCCATGCCCTTCCTAGAGCTTGCAGCTAGTCCCTTTACACGCTCTCCAAACCAGTGCTGCATCCCCCGCTGCGAACTCGCACCGGCTCTTCGGCTTCCGAGCGCAGTAAGGGGCCAGGGCCAAGAAATGGGTCAGCTCAAGGGATCCCAGATCCTCTGCTTTAATTCTTGATGTCTACACACACAGTTACCAGCAAGTCAGGAGAAGAGCAACCATCCCAGGGCTGTGCAGAGCAGGGTGGCTGGAGAGGGGTGGTTGCAGCGGGTCCCAGTGACACCCCAGAGGCTCCCTGTGTGGGAGCACAGCATCTGACCAGGGAGACTCCATTCATCCCCAGGAAAATGGGTTAATGCAGACTCAGATGTCTTAGTCAGACCGACTGGCTGCTCTCCAGTCAGAGTCATCACAAAGACTCAATTCAAAGGCTCTTCCTATCTGGCTTCAGCATCTTGCAAAGAGAACAGAAAACATCTCACAGAAGGCGGCTCTGCCAAAATAGGGGAAACGAAGCAGAGGGCACAAATTCTCTGTGTCATGGCTCCAGCCTGCTCCACAGCCTGGCCCCGGCCTCTCTCCCCCCGACGTAAATCAGGAAGAATCTACACGGGTGATGCCAGTCAGCGGAGGCATGGCAGAAACGGAGAGGGACCCCTCGCTGACAGAGCACCACTGTGACGAGTCCTCATTTGTATTTCACGCCTTCTGCTGAGGGATGCGAGTGACCCGGAGCAGCTCTGCAGGCTGGCAAGTGAAGGAAGGCTTTGTGCCTGAGGTGATACCCAGGGGACACAGCCCAGTGGGACCTGGGCCAGCACTGCAGCGCGGGCTCCTGTCAGGGAAGGATCCAAGGTGAGGGCAAGGGTCTGGAGCAGACTGGGGCTTGCCCCGAAACTTGCACCCACCCAAGGCTGCAGGGCGGCTGTGGAGAATGTGTTACCTCTCTGAGCATCCCGTCAGCATGGGCACAGCTGCAAATGCAATGGGGTGCAAAACGCTCCCCTGCAAGCTCCTGCTTCTGCTGAGCTGCAGCAGAGCCCGCTTCCCACCAAGGTAGAGCCCTATTCTCACCAAGGTGCCCCTGACACCGTTGCAGTTTGTATTCCTTGTAAGAACCAAAAAACAAAGCCAAAGCACAAAGACCTCCAAGCCACCTGCAACAAATCCCTACCCTCCGCCACCTCTCTAAGCAGCATCCTGCCATGGCCACTTCCCAACGCACCCACCCAGAGTCCTCTGCGCGGTCAGAAGGGCTGGAAGCTGCCAGGGAATCTGTTTCAGCACTTGGAGACCCAGGCTGAGGGGCTACCTGCCAAGACATGTGCCTGCCAGCCCGGCACCGGCCAGGTCTGGAGCAGGAGGCTGGGTATGCGACCTGCAGATGGGAGGTGGCATGGAGCGCTCTGGACTGTAGACAAAGCAATCCTTACTAACCCTAAAGGCTACCCCAGAAGAAAATAGCCCGGAGGACACTTTAATACTGTCATCTTAACATTTGCAGACCACTGTCCTCTTGACTTAAGTGTTCCATAAACACAGGGGGAAAATAAGCTTGACCTTGTCCCCATAACTCCCTCTCCATGACTCTTTTCTAAATATGCACTGGCCCTAGTGTGAATGCAGGCAGATCAATCAGGATGGAGTTTTCTCTCAGCCCTGCACATACCCACGTGCTGTTAACATCGAAGCCTGCTGCAAAACTTGGCCACGCTCAGGCTGCTGCGGCTGCTCAGAGCCACGTTCTACACACACAGTTGTATAGGGGGGATTTGGAAGGGCAGGATGGCGATCGAGTATCGTTTCTCAAATCCTGTATTTATTAAACGTCAAAGACTCCAGATGGGCTGGGCTGAATCCAAGCCCCAAGTGTTCTCCAAAACATCTCCATTTCTGAGTTGGTACAGAGCCAGCCCCATTTCAAGCTGCCGCCAAGTAACGTGGAACCTGGACTTCTTGATAGGAGACAAGGGAAAAATAATCTTTTCTACTCAACATGTGCAGGATTTGCTTTTTATAGTTTGTTTCTTTAAAAGTTTGGTCCATTTGAAAGACTCATTAGATGCTTTACTGACATATTTCATAACAAAAGCTCTAAGAATATATCAAGTTCTGACTGCCATCCTCTACTGCTCTCTCTCCCCTGGCTCTAACACGCTTGTCCGAAGCAAAGAGAGTACTTTACTTGCAATAGTACTGAATGAACAAAGGGGAGAAGAGAGAAAGAAGCAAGAAGTATCTCCTGATCACCAGCTGAAACAAGCACTCCTTGCTCAGGATGGAGACAGTGCTGGAATTAGGCCAGAAGAGAACCCAAAGAATTCAAGAAAAGGCTTTGGAGCCTCTTGTGATTGAAAAATCAGACTAGAAGTCACAGCACGGAGTCTCTTGCGTCAGCAGCTGAAAGCCAGCATTAAATGGGGAAGTTTCTGAAAGCATGAAGTCGAAACATAGTACAATTCTGTACTTTTCAAAAACAACGATAAAATCCATGAGAAAAATTGGATTTAAACATAGTAATAGAAAACAAACCTGTTTAAACTTAAAAAAACCAAACAAATCTTACCTTGGTGAACCCTATTTGCTCCTTCCGAAAGTTTTCCAAAGGTTTGATCAGCAAATCACTAGCATTCTGTACCTACAGCACAAAGAAAGCAGCAGTTTAGTTACAGGACACAGAGGAATTTTCTCCTAAATGGAGGCTGAACAGGGCCAGAAGCCAAGAACTGAGATTTTAATGTCTCTGATTGCAAAGTTATTCTCTGTCTGTAGATGAAGTCACTTAACCCAACTGTACCCACTTTATTCCATCTGTAACACACAGCAAACCCCAATCACAGCACCCGAGGCTTCTGGGACATTCTGTAGGTGACAGCCGGGCTCCCCCCTGCCTGCCACCTTCTCGGCACAGCTGTGCAGTGAGCCATTGCCCTCTGCCTGAAACGCTGTGTTACTCCCGCCAACCCTGGGCACCAGCCTGCCAGAGCAGCAGCCTTCTGGGACACTGGTTTTCCCACGGTTCCGTGGGTGCCAAGGCAGGCTGTGTTCCTGCCGGCCTTCTCCAGCGAGCCCCCGGGGAAGCACAGCGTACGTGGTCCCTGTGCCAAGGCTGTGCTCAGGCAGGACAATCCCATCAGCAACAGCAGCTGCCGCCCATCCCGTTTTAAGTGAACTATTCCCATCGGACATGGGAAGGGCTGAGAGGACTGATGTTCCAGCTACGCTGGCTGCTGTGTGAGCCCTCCCTAGACGCAGCCCCAGGAGACAAGGCTGTTTGTTTATCTCTCTGAGAAGCACAACCAGAACCAAATATATTCTCAAAGCACACTGGAGACTGCTACTCACTTGTCAGCTCAGCTGGGTCCCTGCCTGCAGTGAGCTGCCCTGCCTGCTCTAATGGGAGGGAAGGGAGCAGAGATGTGCTGCTGCAGCTGCTTCCCCCTGCCACTGCTGCCGGCTTCTCTGCTCCAGACAACCCAGCTGCACTCCCTCCTACCACCCAAGCACACCACTGCACTAGCCCTGCTTCCCACGACAGCATCCACCCTTGTCTTTAATGCAAAGCCGTGACGGGTAAGATCCCAGAGGTAGGGACCTGTCGAGACGCTAGCATCTCCCAGTGAACCCAGCAGATGTTCACGCTGGTGAGCGACCTGGCCAAAAGTGGCTGCCACAGTCCTGAAATGAGCTGTTTTCCAACAAGAAACAGCCCGCACGAGCTCAGCAAGGCCACGATGGGCAGTAGCTGCTTCGCAGAGAAGGCATGATGCAGGCCCCAAGCTCCTGCAAGCAGAAGGCAGGGCTGGGGCATCCTGGGGTCACCTCCCTGCTGTGGCATTCTCACGGTCCTGCATTTCTCACCACAGAGAGCACTGGGCTTGATGGCTCTAATAGCACAGCTCTCAAATAAATGATGGGCTTTCCTTCTCCTGAGATCCAGCCAGCAGGGAAATGAGAGCAGGCTACCTGTCACAGCAAGAGGGTAACAGTAACAGCTAGGGAAAAAAGGAAAGCCTGCCCGTGTCCCTTGCAGTCCTGTCAGATGTCTGAAAGATGTTTTTCCCACGCATGATCTGCGCTCCCTTTCCACGAATCCACAGGCAAACTCAGCCCAGTTTCTATCAGTGGCTCCAGCTCAAAACTGGCACTGGGACACAACCTGCCATCTCTTCCTGTCCCCACTTCTACTGTGCCAGGCTGTCTCCCGAGCTCCAAAGAAGGGAGAAAGGAAGAGAAGGGGACATGACACTACACTGCCACAGCCCTTTCAGGTAATTTAAAGCTGATCAACATGGTGAGAGTGTGAAACCTTCAGTGAACTACTGTAAAGGACTGTTCCTACTAATGGAAGGCAAAAAAAAGATTTAGAAAAGTTGGACAACATCCCTAAAAGCATCCATGATCCCTGAAATGATCCCTTCCACCCACTGACTGAAAGGAGCTATTGTATCTGGGATGTAATTAATAAATAAATATCTTACTGCTTTCCTCCAGCCTCTTGCTGGTTTCCTGCCATTCCCTGCCTGTCTGTGGACCTGCAGAGTGGACAGTGGGGTCCCACTGGTGCAGCCACCCCTGTGGTGCTGGCCCGGCCAGCAGCCTGGCACAAGCCCTCCCTGCTGCACGAGGCAGAGGGAAGCAGAGCCAAGCAGCACATTCCTGGCATGCTGTAAAAGCTCTCTACTGAGCCTAACCTTCATGTTTTTCCTGGAATTGGAGTGAAATGGGAAGCCAACACTCGCTCTGGAGGAGCTCTGCAGAGACAGAGGGCACAACGCAGTGGGAGACCAAAGCAGGAGCTGGCAAGGCCAAGGGCAGAGAGGGACCTGCATGATCGCACCCAGCAAAAACGAAGCTAAAAATATATCTTGCTTCTTATTCTTTAATACTTTCACCACAAAACCAGCTTGTTACCAGCTGAGACATACCTGGCTCTGCAGAGCAAACCTGCTGCAGATGGCAGGGTGCTGAGGCTCCATGCAGGAGCAGTTTCAGACACTGCATAGGACAACCTCTTCCCCGCTCCTTTGCTGCTCAGGACCCATGGCGATGGCATTGTGGACCAGGCATGGGGCAAAGCACATTCCCAGTGCTCCCAGCTTCCCCCCAGTGGAAAGCTTCACACCACGGTGCTTGGTGCCGTTTGGCCACGATTTAGCATTTAAACATTGTGACGAGGCAGTAATTACCAAAGCATAGTTCAGATCATCTTACCATCATGGACCTCTCCAGCTCTACCTCATGGAGCAGCTCTGCAAACTCCTTAAAGGACTCAGCTGTAAAGAAAAGAAGAAGCTGGTCAGTGGAACTGGGATGTGGCACATGGGACACACGCCGGGGTACCCAACTCTGGCTGCACCCCCAGCATCACCACCTAAAGACTTGTCAAAAAGCAGAGAAGAGGTGGCCCCTTCTGGCAAAAAACGAGTTAGGCAAGGCCGTCGGTAAAGGCCAGCTACGAGGGGAAGCAAGGGAGAGGAGGCCTCCTGCCCGGAGCAGGGAGGGAGATAATGCCCTGGGAAGGGAAAATGATGTTCATTAGCCTTCATAATAACTGTACTGCAAAGCCAGTAAGCAGGCAGCAGGAAAGGGGCAAATGAGGGGAAGGGGCAGCCACCAGCACCGCGGATGGTGGCAGGATGGGCTTTGACACAAAGGAGGGCTGCTGGCAGTGCCGGAATGGGCCTGGCACCTCTGCCCAAGCTGGGAAGAGCTGCAGGTGTTTTCTAGGACGAAGATAAGTTTGTAAAATGAAAACAGACTGGAATGACAAAGATTACATTCAGTGACAAGAAGCACAAAGTCCGTGTACCTATGAAGGAAAGGCAGGAGGTGTAAAAATGGTCACAGATATTGACACCACTCCCCAAAATGTTAAAAATTAAACAGAAAGATCTCATTGATCAGCACTCTTCTTGGAGTCCAACTACAACAAAAATAATATGAAACATTTCCTTTAACAAACTGAGACAACAAGATTTATTTAGCCTGGGGAAAAAAAGACACTAGGTAGGACCAGTTGGCTTCCCACACCAAGCTTCAGCCCTTCTCATTGCCCTCTGAAGGAGAACGCAGGAAGGGGCTGAATTTGTAGCAGGGCAGAAAACCTCTCTACCAGAAGAGCACTCAGAGCACCAAACCGAGGAGCACAGCAAGTCTGGGTTCTCCAGAAAGCTGTAAGACAAGGCTGGGCAAACACCTGCCTACGCACATAACGTGGCTGTGTGCCGAACGCCTGCGGGGAATAACCCGATTGCGCCAGCCTACCTGGGAACCACCTGGGAGTTTGCTGGGGAAGGTTCCCACAGTGCCACTCATCCCCTTCCAGCAGCAGGAGCAGCACCCTGCTCAGAGCAGCGCTGGGGACTGGTCCCGTGGGCCTTGTGCTCAGCCTGGCACTGCCATGTGCAAAGTACAGAATGGGGGTGCAAAGCCCACACTCATTCTTGAGCTTGCCGTTCAGACCCTGCATGCACAGCAAAGCACGCAGAGGCCCTTGGCCACTGCTGAGCAATTTAAAGACTGTCAGAGATGAACCAAAGAACCTCACAAATGCCTGGCTGACACCACAGCTCTTGAACGGGGCGGCATCCAGAGCTCTGGCATGCCTGGCTCGGCAAGGGTAACACACGAGGGAACAACCAGGCACACAGCGAGGCACGGACAGCAATAGCTCATCCCACAGACAAGGGGAGAGGATACCTGTGTGTTCTGTCTGCAAGCTGAGGGCCCTCTCCCCTCATCCATAGGTGGTACCTTAGGAGAAATACCTGGCCTTCTGCTAAAACCCAGCCGCAACACTGCTGCACAGCCAGCAGGTCATGTTAGAGGATTCACTCTGCAGTTGCTGAGATAGACACAAAAAGGAAAACCCACAGCCTCGTGACACAGTCCCTCAAAACATAACCTTCCTGATGAGTCAGTAATTTCTGAGTTCTCTGAGCGAGGGCTTCAGAGCCTGGCACACACAACGTCCTGATAGTTCATTACGCTCGACCACATGGCCAACACGCTGACTTTCACTGTGGTTACTCTTAGGACAATGTGAAACCTGAAGTGCGTACTGGCACCGGGAGCCTGAGCCAGGAAAAGAATTATCACGTGGAGAAAGAGGATTCAGCCCTGAATTTATGTGGAAGACGTCAGTGCCTAAAATTTTCACTGGATTTTTTTTCTTGCTCTACAGGAAAAGTCCAGGCACACATTTCCTGGCTGCAGTCATGGAGCAACACACTGAATTTGTCCTTACACCACAAACCATGGCTCACGCTACACCCCGCTGCCAGACTAGCGGTGTCCAGGGGTGGACCTGCACTACTGGCCTCGGTCAACACTTGCAAACCCTTGCAGAGCAGAGCAGGGAAGCTGCCTGCAACTGCTGCCTGCCAAGCCACACCTGGGAACTGCCTGGGAGCGACTCAGCTGGCCTCAGCCAGAAGCATGCCAGGAACGTCAGCTGCCTTAAAACAGGAGTGCAGGTTCCCATGCCTAGAACACGCCATCTGATTTCATTGCTCCGTTCATCTCTGAAGGAGCTGCTGATGTGGGTCCCACACAGGTGACTGGCATAGGGACCACAGCTGCCGTGTAACGCGGGTGCGTCTGTAACTATTAACAACCCCAGGGGAAAGCGCTGCTCACGACAGACAGCATCAGCCCCACGTCTGCGTCCTGACTCGCTCTCGCAGTGTTCAAAGCCACCACCTGACAGGCAGGGGTGTCAGCCTGCTGTCTGCCTACATAAAAAGAAAAAAGTGTGCCATTAGTTATATTTACAGATCAAACACGTTCCCTGAGGTATGATAAGAAGTGCTTGTGAATGGTTTTTTTCATTCCCATATCCTGCACATCAAATGAGCTCCTACGCTCCCACACAGATCTCTGGCACCCTTGCAGGAGATGGAAGCTGCTACGGAGACGTCAGCTGCCTGCTGCTGTTTCAGGCATCAGGGAGCCTTGCAGAGCAGCTCAGCCCCAGCAGGCACTGCAGGGTTTGGTGTAGGAGGAGGAACACAGTACAGCCTTTTTCATAAGGGAAACTAGGGACCTCTTCCTGAAACAGCAAACAAATATTCCCCAACATAAGCAGAAGTAAGGAAATGCGCCTGTTTCACCACGGAGTGTTTTACATTTGCTGTGATCCCTTCTTGCACTCCTCCGCCCACGACCCCTTCATTCAACATCTGCCATGTCCAGCAGCCTTCCCTGCCCGGCGAGCACGGCAGCCCTGCCGTACCAGCTCTCCGCACCGGCTCGGGGTAGGTGGAAAGGCAGCACAGGGGCACAGAGGTCAGAGCTTTGTCCCTTCCAGCTGAGAGATGCTCCTTTCCTTGGCCATCTGTTTGCTTCAGATCCCTCTGCTCCCAGGAGGGGCATTTGTAAGGCAACTTTTTCCCCTCCCTTGTTCAGATCTGTTTGGAAATTTAGCACCTCCACTGCCATCAGATTTGTAGGCTGACTCATTTCCAGTGGGTTTCACCTAGAGACTTTCCATAAAGGAAACCAGATTGTGAAGGGCAAGCTATCTGTTGTAAATTGTTTTAAATAAAACATCCAGAAGAACAGGCTTTACTTCCTTCCCCTTTCAGCGGTGGCCAAGATACCTGACATCAGCAATGTCACACTTGCAGCCGCTCTTCAACAACTGCCTGACAAAAACTTTCCTTCTTTGGGGTTGGGTTTTTTCCCTA